ATCCCAGGCGCGCATGGGCTGCCCGCCCGCCGGAGCCCCTCCGCGGCTTTGAAAGAGCAGTTTCCTAGTTTTTAGCCCCCAAGCCTCTCCAGGAAACATGGGTTCCAGAAGCTGGCTCTAGCTTGTTCCAAGGTCACATTATACTTGCATGCTTTTGCCTGGCTTCCTTGCCTGTCTCTCTTCTGTCTGCTCTCACACATGCATACCCCTACCCAAACCAATACTCAGCCCAAAGCAGGCACACCCTCTCCCCTATTTGGCTTAGGTCCAAGTTTATGCTTAGGGCATGTCTACACTGGCGAGAACCCCTTATCAATGTGTGGGAAGAGGAGTCCATGCAGTCCCAGCTGCCAGGGACCTGTATGAACTTGTGACACTTATGGCTACAATTCTCAAGCCTCGTGCAAGAAGGGTCTGATCGGGACACACTGCAGTGCAGAGCCAAGATGCTATAAAGGTCTCAGCTCCTTTAGAGGGTGAGGGAGCGAACTGCCATTCTGGTGCTGCACCCAAGACAGACACAATCCTGGGAAGAGGGTGGCCCCACATATACCACCAGGAACCTTGTGGATACTTCCGAAGGCCCTGAGTCAGCAGAAAGACGACGAAGTTCTTGATGAAGCAGGAGAACTAGATGAGGACGTGGGCTCACAGCAGGGTCTCTCAGTGTGGCAGGCAGCCAGGAATGGTTCTCAAGTCCCAAAGCGAGTGGGGAGTCTCAGCAGCAGCTGGATATGGAGCATGAAGTAAGGGAAGAGAGGCTGGGGACGTGGCTTTGCCGTGGGGAGTCACAGACATGAAGGCAGGTGGCTATGTTTCTGTGAGCTGGCTTAGCCCTTCATAGCTAGGCGCGCTGTCCAAGCAGGGTGTTGATGCACACCAAGATGTTCTAGCATCCTTTTGCGGATTATACTAAACTGTTTAAGATAGTCAAGACAGAAGCAGACTGTGAAGATTTTCAAAAAGAAAAACTCACCAAACTGAGTGATTGGGCAACAAAATGGCAAATGAAATTTAATGTGGATAAGTGTAAAGTAATGCACGCTGGAAAAAATAACCCCAACTATACATACAGTATGATGGGAGCTAATTTGGCTACGACAAATCAGGAAAGAGATCTTGGGAGTTATCGTGGACAGTTCTCTGAAAACTTCCACACAGTGTGCAGTGGCGGTCAAAAAGGCAAATAGGATGTTAGGAATTAAGAAAGGGATAGAAAATAAGACACAGAATATCTTACTACCCTTGTATAAAACTATGGCATGCCCACATCTTGAATACTGTGTACAGATGTGGTCTCCTCACCTCAAAAAAGATATTTTGGCCTTGGAAAGGGTTCAGAAAAGGGCAACTAAAATAATTAGGGGTTTGGAACAGGTCCCATATGAAGAGAGGTTAAAGCGACTAGGCCTTTTCAGTTTAGAAAAGAGGAGACTGAGGGGGGATATGATAGAGGTATGTAAAATCATGAGTGGTGTGGAGAGGGTGAATAAAGAAAAGTTATTTATTAGTTCCTATAATAGAAGAACTAGAGGACACCAAATGAAGTTAGTGGGTAGCAGGTTTAAAACTAATAAAAGAAAGTTCTTCTTCACACAGCCCAGAGTCAACCTGTGGAACTCCTTGCCAGAGGAGGCTGTGAAGGCTAGGACTAGAACAGAGTTTAAAGAGAAGCTAGATAATTTCATGGAGGTTAGGTCCATAAAAGGCTATTAGCCAGGGGATAGAAATGGTGTCCCTGGCCTCTGTTTGTCAGAGGCTGGAGAGGGATGGCAGGAGATAAATCACTTGATAGTTGTCTTCAGTCCACCCCCTCTGGGGCACCTAGTGCTGGCCACTGTTGGCAGACAGGCTACTGGGCTAGATAGACTTTTGGTCTGACCCAGTACGGCCATTCTTATGTTCTTATTCTTTGTCAATGGAATCCTGCTTTGGAAACTCTGCTGAGGTACTTATTCATTTTCTCACAACTATTCCATGGCAGGGCTGCTGTTTCCCCACCCCTGTGGAATGACATTCTCCCAACCCACTCTTTGATCTGTGCTGTTTTGCTTCCTGCACAAGCAGCAAGGCAACCCACCACTTGCATCCCGAAGAGCCCGGGGTTTCCCTGCTTGCCCTCAGGAGTAAGATATGAGCAAGAGTGATGCCAGCCTGTGGACTTCATTGAAATGACTTGCATGCAAGCCTGCTGCACAAGAGCGGGCTGCATTCTTTTATGCCCCTCTGCACACCCCTCATCCTTCCGGTCCCATTCCCCAGAACTCACCATGCGCACAGTGCCTGCAGAGATGTGGGCTTTGCTGAAGGATCAGTGGGAAAGTGGCAGCTTACGTTGCTAAAGGTGCTTTGCAGTGAAATGTTTCAACCTTGCGCTGGAATTTTACAATTCCTCTTTTGTTACATTCTTAATTGCAGGGGAGACCTTGACAACTCAGAAAACTTCTCCTGCTGACAGGCCGCGTCAACTGAGGAGGAATAGGAAGAGACTGAGGGAGGTTTAGCATCAGTCATCGATGCAAGCGTACCGAATGGAGAAGAGGTGGGACAGGGAAGCAAAAGATAGAAATGATGCCACTGACCGTACGATCGAGGTCATGAAGGACCAAACAGAGATGCTGAAATGTTTAATCAAAATGCAGAGGAACAGAACTGGCATCAGCCTCCCTTGAAACAGATACAGAATTCTTTGCCCAGCAACCTACCCTCTACGCCAGTGGTTGGAAAACTGTGGCCTGCATGCAGCATGCAACCCACTGGGACTCCACCTGTGGCCCCCCCCTCCCCCTCGGCTGTTTCCCCCCCTACACCTCTCAGGCACTGGGGCGCCAGAGCCCCGCACTTACCTGCTCCTCCCCCTCTTCCAGATCTGAAATGCCATGAATCAGCTGTTGGCAGCATTCCAGCTCTGGCAGGAAGGGGGCGCGAATCAGGTGATTTGCGAGCTCCAAAAGTGCTGGGAGGGAGCAGGAAGAGCAAGTAAGTGCAGGGCTCCTGGGTTCTAGTGTCCCAGCGCATGAGAGGCACAGGGGGGCAGACAAGGGGACTGCGGGGCTGCAGGAGGAACCCTCGGGGGCTGCAGGCTGTTGCAGACCCCTGAGATGAAGGAGGACCATTCATGCGACCCGCCCACTCTCTGGGAATGCTCATTTTCCAATACACTCCTCTCCCTTTCACAGCTGTGCTTATGACAGCTGGACCTACACACAATTGTGAGGCTTTCCCTTAAACCTAACCTTGCCTCATCAGCAAACAGTCATGCTAGGTATTTGCAGTGATCTATAAAGGTAAGCCTGTCAACTGGTACAATGACTTTATTTTCTGTTCCACCGCCCATACCTATCGCACAGGCCCCAGTAGAATGCTGTGAGAGGAAAAATGGTACTTAGGAAAAGGAGTGGGATGCGGCAGGGAAGCATCCCCAAAAGAGACACATTTCAGTGTCCCTCGTTGTAAAGTGGTTCCACAAAGCCCCCCTCACATTTCCGGGTTCCCACAGTGCCTAGCAAAAGAATGTGTCGCTAGGCACTGTGGGAGGCATACCCACAGTGCACTGCGCATACAGTCGAAGGGGGAGCTAAAAATGTGGCCATGATTGGTCGACAGGAAGCAGTGTAAACACACTTTGGCAACCTTTCGTCACCAAGACGTTGCAATGCAGCATACCCTTCGTTATGAGGGTGAGTTCACACTTCTCAATCTCAGTAGGGTTTTACCTCAACCCAGAACAAGGGTTCACCAAGCGCTGAACACTGTGCCAAAAGTCCTAGGCCGCTGTGCTAGCAGAGGCAACAACCTATTATTCTAAAGGTAAGTTACCTGCAAATATTTCATTGGCTATATGAGAGCGACTGCACAGATGACGGATTACTTGGCCCAGGTGCTACAGCTGTGTGACCACATACACAATAAGCATCCCCCTAGTACACACAGCATCTCATCGCAGCATACACCCCTTCTTTACCACCTGCACAAAAATCAGCACAATCAGCACACACAACTGCAGCCTAGAATGTCTGCTGAATCAGCGAGAAGCAATGGAAATACCCCCAAGCACAGCTGAGACCTCTTTTTGTTCAGCAGATCACCAGGTTCAATTGTCATTGGGATTTATGGTTTGTTAATGTCCAATTGTTAAGTTCTCAGCCATCCTGACTTTTTATACACAAGACTTGACGTATTCCATCCATACAACAGTCCTTCTGCTATTAGTTTTTAATCAGATTAATTAAAACTTGCTTTGTTAGCTTTTGTAAACACTTAGACATTCTTGCTTAACACACTCTTCAGAACAGGGATGTATATGAGTAGTCGATGTCTTGCGTTTCCCCACCCCTGGCTGCCTCTGTATGAGAGGCAGTGGAGGGAAAGCAGGAACCGGTGCTAGGGGGAGCCAGCTTAAAAAATGGTTCCCCCGCAGTACCACTTGCCCCCCACCTTTCCCCTCCGCTGCTGCTTCTATCTGAGGCAGCAGCATGGGGACAGTGGGGGGCGTGAAGCAGCCTCTGCCCACTGGGATCCCCTCAGACAGTGGCTACTGGACACAGCGCAAGCTGGGCTTGTTCAGTCCCAGCTTGTGCTGAGTTTGGGACCTACCTCCACTGCAGCTCTTCAGTTTAAATATAGTAAGAGTGGGGTGGGCAGAGCCACAGCGGGGGTAGGTCCTGGACCCAGCACAAGCCGGGACTGAGCACCTTTTCTTATCCACTAATCATGTAGTCGATAAACATTTTATAGACTGCACGATTAGTGAAATACCTGCTTCTTAACATCGCTACTTCAGAAGGGGATGCACTTAATGATTCAACCACTGTCTCTTTGGCCAAGCAATGGGGGCTTCAATAGGCAATTGGAGCCCCAAGAAAATCTGAATACAAGTAAAGAAGGCCAAAGCTGACATTACTGATTAAACCTAAGGTATAAAGGAAGCAGGAAAAGAAAACTTTTTTTAAAATGCCCTTCAGGCTCTCCTCTTTGTATGTCATAAAGGAATCAACCACATTTTTAAAAATCCCTTGCAGGCCACCTTTAACACATGCCTCAAAAGCTGATCCTCCCATATTCCAACTTAGTAACTATTCATCTTAACTCATTTATGTTATCCAGATCTAAAGCTTCTCAGCCCTTTTGAACTCCCCAGAAATATCACTGTGATCAACAACTTGGTCTTTGTTTTTCTCTACAGTCTGCTGATGGCTTAGTCCAAACCCTTCCAAGTATCTCTGCTTGAATTAGGTAAACATTTTAATGAATGTCACAGTCTTCCTTTCAAATGCAACAACTGGTATTCAGCTATAAGGTCTATCCTTCTAGAGGAAGAAAAAATAAGGTCAGTCCAAGCAAGTTATTGACTAAGCAAGTGCCTGTCCCAACTTGGAAGTTCTACTTGTTATACTTGTAGAGGTATAGCATTAGAAACCCCCATATGGACACGCTTTGCAATATAAGGATGACTTTTTTTGGTTATCTTAAACCTGTTCTCAAACAATATAAGCTACACTGAAAACACCAAAATAAAGCACACACAAGAATGTCCACTTAGAAGGTTATGCTGGTATAATGATATTGGTTTATATTCACACTTTAGGTATACCAGTATAACCTTCCCATGTAGACAAGCCCTAGTAACAAATCAAGAGCAAATCAAAACCTACGTCTAAGGCTCCTAAATTTAGTTTTGAAACAAGGCATGCCCCTGTTTAGATGGTCTCTGCTAGAGCCAATGAGAGACTCCCATTAAAAAAATGATACAGAAGTGTCTTGAAGAAGTTTGCATTATATAGACTAGACTACAACCTGAGCAAACCTCTCAAAATAATTTTTAAAAGCAACACTGAAAATGTTTTAACTGATTTTTTTCTTCAAAATAGATACACATCCATTGAAGACTATCAGAACCTATTTCTAATGCACTAACAATTCACTTCATTCATGTGAACAGAATATTTATAGTTCATAGTAATTAAAAACAGTAGGACAAGGTACAAATTATACTTTTGTCAGTACACAGTTAAACAAGTTACTGCAGTAAACAGAATAAAAAAGAACCTCATGCAGTTTAGCTATGTAACTAGGAATTGAGGCTGGTAAGAAAAGACAGCTATCAGAAACTGCCAAAGAATTAAATGAATACTTCAATTCTTCAAAGTACAGGTGACAAGCCTAGGTTTGTGTTCATGGACACCTGAAGCTTAGGTAAGGTGAGCTTACTATCCCTTTGCCAGTGTGGAACTGCTTAAAGCAAGGAGACCATAGCAGAGGGAACAATCTTCTCCTGACTCAAGCAGGCAACAGGGCTTGTACCACTTCTGGGAGACTGGTCCACAACCTAACACATTTCGCTATCAGGAAGCGTTCCAACCACGCTATTCGATTCCAACCCATGTTAGGCTTCTCAAGCTGAAAAGTAGAGCTTCACAATCACAAAAGTACAAGCTAATGATCTCTGCTAGTGTATTCTAGAAAAAAGAAAAAAAATCTGGGGGCTGCCATTAAAATATTTAATGTTTAACTTGCTTTCACTGATGGTTCTTAAAAGCCTGGCTTATCCACAGACTGAGAATTTTCCCCACATTTATGCTGCTTTATCGTATTTCCTATTATTTTCTCTTTCTTTCATTCTTTCAAGATTCTCAAAATGATACCGTTCAGCAGTCAGTTTAGGAAAGGGATGAATTCTGGCTTGAGACGCTATTATTACATTTTACAGGCAGGCATCCTTCTGATCCTGTGCCACTATTGTATTCATTGCTATCATTCCTAGCAATCCTTCATCTAGCAAGCAACAGGGCATTTTTAAAAACAAAATTAGAAAGAAACATTGAAGACTAAAAAGGCAACTCAGCTTTCTATTAAGTCTGATTGCTGTCTATCTTGATGCAAACTAGTTTTCAATTTACAATTTTGCTCACATTTTATGCAGTTCTATAAAACATGGTTCTTCCTGACAGGATGAAATGAATCCAGCATTACATGCCAGGAGTGGACTAGTTAGAAGCATGTTGAAAATGCTCAAAGAAACTTTTCTGGTTACACAATGCCCCAATTCATCTTAACTGTTATATAAAGATTCTCCCTCAGGACAGCTAATATCTCAGCAATCTGGGTTTAATATACAAGATATTCCACATACCTCATTGGACTGCTTTCCACTATATGACATTTTCTTGATGGCCACCACTTCATTGGTGCGCACATCACGTGCCTGTAACATGAAAATAGAAAGTATTACTCTCTCATACCACAAAGAAAATACCCGATAAAGAAAATAAAACACACAGAGAATGGTTTCACACTGGAATCGAAGTACTGAAAGAACCATATCCACTTAAGTGGATTTCTGTATCTAGGCTAACTCTTATCTCAATGGTGAACTTCCGACTAGCTTTAACCATTTTCTTTTTTAACAGAGGGTGCTGCATTTCAGTGACAAGTCTACATTTCAAACAGTTTGTAACTATTCAAAGGCAAAAGTTTTTTTATACCGATAAAATTTTAACATTGTAATGCCCAGATCTTCTCTAGGCAGAGGAAACTGTTCACAGACCCAACAGCATCAACGACGACTATAATTTACTATGCACAAAGCAGATCTCAAGTGAAGACTGCCCGTCAATCAAAAATACAGTAACAACATGCCAGGTGCTTCCGCTGAAATAAAAGGCAGAAATAAGAAGGAAAGTTTAAAGAGCTGTGGTCACCCCATGAAAACTCTGAAAAATATTCAACTGAGAAATAACTGCTCAGGCAATTCTCTATCTTCCTGAGAGTTTTATCCGGACCACTCAATTGCTTGAGGTGTGGATTTTTACAGGGCAACATTCATATGCTCTGTTTCAGAGAGCCCTTATACCTCCTATTTGGGCTCATTATTTGAAAGGATGAACTACAGCTACCAATCTGCTTTGATATTTGAAAATACCAGCATACAGGATATTTTGAATAAGCATGGATAGGTGGCTTTTCAAGAATGCTTGGGAAGCCAACATCTAGCACTGATCATCTAGAAGAACAAGACTATGGCCAGGTAAAAATCTAGAAATCTCTGGATACTTAACCCTTCTTGAGAAATGCCCTTCACTCCACAAAATAAAAATGAACATTTATGACAGTCTTTGGCAACCAGCTATCGATAACAAACATCAGCTGGGGTGCTTCTTGTGCACTGGCTGCAGGCACTGAGGGTGTAATTCTGGCACTACCAAGGTAACAGTGAAACTCTTGTGGGCTTCAACAGGGTCAGGATTTCACACACCCCTACTCTACAAAATATTTGGGGTTGGGACCTTGGAAAACAACAAAGACATACTGTAGCTTCCATCAAAGGACCCCAATGCACTAGATCAGGGGTCTCCAAACTTTTCAGCCCGAGGGCCGCATTAACTATCAAACAGCAGTTCGGGGGCCGACTACACACTTGAGGTCCAAATAAAAAACAATCAAAACATGGATGTTGTTTTTAATTATTTATGTAATATTATTTTATTCAGTTATTTAATAACACATTAATACACTACACATGAACACCTGTATTAGTGTGAATGGTGAAATTGTTTCCTGGATGCCAAAATAGCAGACATTTCTGGCTTTAGATTTGTTGTCCCTAACATCAACAGTGACCTGAGATTATCATCGGACAAGTTTGTTCTCAAATTGTTCTTCACGTAATTTTTTTTCCGTAGACAAAAAGGTCTCCACGGGCCGGATGAGGGGGCCTCGCGGGCCGTAGTTTGGAGACCCCTGCACTAGATGAGTAGCAACTTGACCTTGTAAGGGACAAAACAGAGTAAGGGAGTTACTTGCCGAAGATCACAAAAGTAACCAGCACCATAGCAAGGAAGGGAACCCAGGGCATTGGTCTCTCAGCCCTTCACCTTTGTCACAGGCCAGATTCCATCCCAAGGAGTCCCATTCAAGTAAGCATTGCTTTGTTTTTAAGCTTGCTTTAGTTTTATACTCTATACTCCAGAATATACTCTGATATACTCATTTGATGGCATTCTTGCTTGTTTCCATACCAACTGCAATTCTGTGGTTGTGCTCCTCTCTTTCTATTTGTCCATATTCCTATACTGCCAGGGTAGATTTTAATATTAAGTTTAAAACTTCAATAAACAATTAAGAAAATAATTATGAACAACACTGCACAGGTTTCATGTAGCAGTGGATCCTAGAGGATTAGCAGAGTGCTTGAAATGCTAGGGATGTTAGTGTATAGTCGAATAAACTTTTAACCCATAAATCTGGGCTTATCGGTTAATCCTATCAACTATACACATTCCCCTTCCAATGCTGCCTCTGTATCAGAGATAGCCAGGGGAAGGGGAGCGGGAGCTGGTGCCTGTGAGGAGCTGGGTTTAAGCAGGCTCCCCATCAGCACCCAGATCCCATGCAGCAGCCTCTGTCCGTGGGGAGCTCAGCCGCCCCCGGCAATGGCTGCTGCCATTCCACTCTGCTGCCTCTGTATCAGAGGCAGCAGCGCAGAGTGGTAGGCAGCAGTCCATGAGGGGAGCTGGTTTTTAAACTGGCTCCCCTCATGGACCAGCTCCCAACTGCCACCCCCGCTGCTGCCTCTGATAAAGTGGCAGTACTGTGGGGTGGCAGGGGGCTTCCCGGGAATGGGGCCAGGAGCTCACTGGCTGCCAGCCCTGTCCTGGGGACTATCAAATAGTCATGTAACCACTAAAATGTCATGTGGTTACACAACTATCAATTACATGATCTCTAACATCCCTATGAGATACCACCCTGACTTTCTTTCCCCACATACTACAAAAATATCTGAAATATTTGGATTAGATAGGTGAGTGGCTCAACAGATGACAAATATTCAAGGTAGAACACTTAGACTAGGAAAAAAAAAACTTGGGAGGGTTTTGGCTTTCTTGACCATGGACTGCTTTTCCAGGAAGAAGAACTGGAACCTGAAAGGGGACTCAAATGCGCGAAGGATAGTCTTTTGCCTCCCAAGACCCTGGAGGGTAAGGCTTCCCTGGAGCTTCCCCCTCCCCTCCTCCTGGGGCTCCAGCAGACAGTGGAGTTCCAGGGGAGCAGGGAGCAGTGTCTACACTGTCAAACACAACCAGGTAAGGTTGAGAACAGCATTACTCCTCATGAAATCAGGCATAACCCACATCAATTTCAGTGGCCCTTAAGGTCAATGAGATAGGCGTGATAGTGTGGGCGCATCATTTAGAAAATTGACCATATGCAGCTGAATTCGGAGTAAACTCCTATGTTGACCAGGCCAAAAAGTAACAAGAAAATATCCTACAACTACACAAGAGGCAAGAGGAAGACCAATGACAGGATAGGGCCGTTACTCCATGAAGAGGGGAAAACAACAACAAATGTGGAAATGGCAGAGGTGCTTAATGACTTTTGTTTTGGTTTTAGTGACAGGATAACATAGTGAATGCCAGTGAAAATGGGGTAGGATCAGAAGCTAAAATAGAGAAAGAACAAGTTCAAAATTACTTAGACAAGTTAGATGCCCTCACGTCACTAGGGTCTGATAAAATTCATTCAAGAATACTCAAGGAACTGACTGAGGTGGTATCTAACCCATGGGTTATAATCTTTGAAGAGTCAAGATGACTGGACTAGGACAAATATAGCGCCCATCTATAAAAACCAAGGATTTATAGACCAGTCAAATTAATTTCTGTACCAGGAAAGATAATGGAGCAAATAATGAGGGATGATTGGAGGGATGATAGGAGTTACTAGACAGAATTTCTGGGTGTCTGGCTGGTGAGTCTTGCCCACATGCTCAGGGTTTAGCTGATCGCCATATTTGGGGTCGGGAAGGAATTTTCCTCCAGGGTAGATTGGCAGAGACCCTGGAGGTTTTTCGCCTTCCTCTGTAGCATAGGGCGCAGATCACAGCTGGAGGACTCTCTGCATCTTGGGACCGTCAAAGTATTTGAAGGCTTCAATATTGGAGATATAGGTGAGAGGATTATTCTAAGAGGGGTGGGTGAGATTCTGTGGCCTGCACTGTGCAGGGGGTCAGACTAGATGATCATAATGGTCCCTTCTGACCATAAAGTCTATGAATCTATGAAGGAATCCATTTGTAAGCATCTAGAAGACAATATGGTGATAAGAAATAGTCAGCATGGGTTTCTCAACAACAAATCATATCAAACTAACCTGATATCTTTCTTTGATGGGGTAACAAGCATTGTGCATAAGAAGGAAATGGTAGATATGGTATATCTAGACTTTTTGGTTTTTGGGTACAGTCTCGTATGACTCTCTCATTAACAAACTAGGGGAATACAACCTAGATGGAGCTGCTATAAGGTGCATATACTCATTAGATAACCATTCCCAGGAGACAGCCATTCCCAGGGAGTAGTTATCAATGGTTGACAGTCATGCTAGAAGGGCATAACAAGTGCGGTTCCACAGGAATCAGTTCTGGGTCCAGTTCTTTCAATAAATAATGGCATAGGGTTTGCAGATGATGCCAAACTGGGAAGAGTTGCAGCAAGTGCTTTGGAAGATAAGATTATAATTCAAACTGTTCTGGGCAAACTGGAGAAAGAGTCTGAGGTTAAGATGGATGAAATTCAATAAGAACAAATACAAAAGTCCTCCACTTAGGAAGGAACAATCAATTGCACAAATACAAAATGGGAAATGACAGCCTAGGAAGGAGCACTGGGGAAAGCTAAGTATGAGTCAGCAGTGTGACACTACTGCAAAAAAAGCAAACCTGATTCTAGTATGTACTAACAGGACTGTTGTAAGTAGATATGAAAATTCATTCTGCCCGTCTACTTTCATGCTGAGTAGGCCTCAACTGGAATTTCCAGTTCTGGACACCACATTTGAGGAAAGATGTAGACAAATTGGAAACAGTCCAGAGAAGAGCAACAAAAATGATGAAAGGTCTAGAAAACATGACCTGTGAGGGAAGATTGAAAGAATCAGGTTTGTTCTGTCTAGAAGAGAGACAATTGGAGGTTAGGTTCATGGAGGTTAGGTCCATAAAAGGCTATTAGCCAGGGGATAGAAATGGTGTCCCTGCCCTCTGTCAGAGGCTGGAGAGGGATGGCAGGAGACAAATCGCTGATCATTGTCTTCAGTCCACCCTCTCTGGGGCACCTGGTGTTGGCCACTGTCGGTAGACAGGCTACTGGGCTAGATGGACCTTTGGTCTGACCCAGTACGGCCGTTCTTATGTTCTAACTGAGAGGTGACATAACAGTTTTCAAGTACCAAAAAGGTTGTTAAAAGGAGCGATAGGACAAGCAGCAATGGGCTCAAATTTCAGCAAGGGGGGTTTAGGTTGGACATTAGGAAAACTTCCTACCTGTCACCTCTTGCTGGCCAAAAATCACCGTTCATGGTCAATGCAAGCAGCATCCTGGTCCATGCCACTTCCCACCGCTCGGATTGGCCACGAATGCTGATCTGCAGCCAATGAGAGCTGTGATTGTCTGATACCTGAAGAGGCATAGGTAAACATAGCAGCAGCGGCCTGCCAGGGACTAAGTCTGGCAGACTGCCACTTTTTTTATTGCTCGCCCCTGCTCTAGATGGTGCTTGGTCCTGCTGTGAGTTCAGGGGACTGGACTTGATAACCTTGTGAGGTTCCCTTCAAGTCCTATAATTGATTCTATGAATATTTGTTGAACACCACAATCACTTAAGAATATTTATCACAAAGGATTTGAGGTTTATCTGAGTTGGAGGATGGGGAAAAAATCACTGAAATAATCCAATTGGTGAACAGCCGCAATAAAAAAGGCAAACAAGATACCGGATTATAACAGCAAATGAAATGAAGACAGAACAAAAGAATGGGAATCCCTATGCCCTGTCTAGAGTACTGTCCTTAGCACATGTTACTGTATGAAAGAAAAACTATTCTTGCTCTGGAAAGGATGAAGAATTACGGCAGCAAAGATGATACTAAAACGAAATGTAAGAGGCAGGCTTTTGATTACCAGAGTGATAATATCTTCGGATGAGCCAACAGTTTATGAAAACAATGAAAGGAATTGTAATTGAACTTAGTACAAACTTGAAGAGCAGGCTAGAAAATATAGTTAATCAAAAGAAATAGAGAATAAAAGATCACCAAAAATGATTAAAAGAGTGTAAGTGTCAGTGAAATCTAGACCTGTTTGTGGGTGAAGGGATGGAGTAAGTAGAATAATAAAGGAAAGGAAAGTAGATCTCCCCCCAAAAACACCACCCATCAGAAACTGAAAAGACAAGAGAGCTATGAAGGCTGACAAGCCAGAGAATTACAGGCACCCAATTTATTTTAAATATCTTCCCTAGCCAGGAAAAATCGATGTGACATCCAAACCCGGATGGCAATGTTGTTGTGATGCTACCCAATTTACTTGGTGACCATACAACAGAGAGCTTGTTTGAAATTTCAAGCATGCATACACATGCATACTGTGTACAGTGGTCAAGAGAAGGCAAGGTAGCAGAGTTTACAAGAATAGAGTAGCTAGACGAATGACACAAGAAGCATGGGTGTAATGCAAAAAGGGTAACGAGCTGATACTTTAGTTACAGCAATTTGGCAATGCTCCTTTGAAGTTTTACCTACATTTAACTTGACTGGAGAAAACTTTAACAGAGTATATTATCCAAGAATTGAGTACTGCTGATGGAACAACAGAATTTTCCTTTTAGTAAGGAGTTACTGGTTTTGCAAGAAAAACAGAAATGAGACATCTACTTGGTAAACATCTTTACAACAATTTCTCCCCATCCACCAGGTCTAGCTCATCCTTTTGGGTAGAGCTTTATGTAATACAATGCTTATCTATAAAATAGCTTCGGATAAAAAATTTCCTTCAAGAGATTTTCAAGAGCAAGAAAGATACTGTTGTAACGTGTCTAGACTGCGTGAAGATTAAAATGCAAAACGACAGTAACACACTTCACAAATCTGCTCTGGGGCACACTCCTTTATTTAAAGAAAAGACACACAATACACAAAAATTTGAGCATCATCATGCAAAGCTAATCCCTTGTCCACCTGCAGTGCATTACAAGCACAATCTCAGTACATCAAGGTAGAAATCCCTTTGTTAATGAACTTTCAGACTGAAATCAGTGTTTAGTGAGAGAGAGTGTAGAGAAGGGTTGAAAAGCTTGGAAGGGTGCGTTATTCACCATTAAAATTCATGGCAGCATGTATACTGCTTGAAAGGTGTTCTGGAAAATAGCATTCAAACCTTACATGATTTTTATTTTGAAACAAACATGGAATTCACAGAGATCCTGATGTGATGAATGTTCTTCTTTTCTTCTTGAGAGCATCTGTAGGACATAGCTTGCAAGTGACCTCTAACTTCGGGCTCATTTTGGTTAAGTATCTCCTATGACATTCACATGCCATAATAAAATATAACAAGGCTGAAAATATTTAAAAATTGTGTCAGAAAGTGGGCAGAGGGGAGAAATGAGTCGGGATGACATCTATTTCCAGTTTTCTCCAGTGAATTTAATGATATTAAGCAATGTTCACCTGCGGCGTTTACTTCATTATAAAACATTTGCTCACACAGATGTGTTTCCAGATAGTGGCAGCTCACAAGTTTAAGAAGGGAACAAAATTAAGATGCTTTTCCTAATTAGTTCATCTGTGCTGCATTAAATTTGTGCTGGAAGGTTCCCAACATCGTCTGCTGCAATCAATAGGCAGCTCATAAAATAAGGACACAAATAGCCTTCTGTAAGAAAACTGACAGGTCTGGCCACACCTGTTAGATTTATAAATGAGAAAAGGTTGCACAGAAAAATGGCTTTGTAACAAAGGTCTCACAGTATGCACTTTGGGTAACAGAGAGTACATTGCAAATGAAGTAGCAATAAAAGGCTAAGTGATATCCCATGACTCAGCTGCTCTACGTAAGCAGAGAGCAGGCCGGGGAAAATCCTGTTCCCCAAAAGCTTAGGTCATAAGAATGTTATATGGATAAGAATTGGGATTCCTACCCATGCGGTAAGGACAGCAGGTAACGCTGTAAGAGACTGACAGTGTGAAAGAAAATGGTTGTGGAGAGGCTGAGTGGGGACAGAAGAAGAAAACTGAGCTCCTCTCAGACCATGTCTATACTTTCCCACAGATCGATGCTCCAGAGGTCAATCTTCTGGCGTTCCATTTAGCGGGTCTAGTAAGGATTCACTAAATCAAATGATGAGGGTGACACCATCGATGCTAGTATTCCAACTCCTTGTGAGGAGTAGGGGAAGTCAATGGGAGTGTTTCTCCAGCTATGCGATTAACGTAGCTGGAGTCATGTATTTAAACTCTAACTTATCCCCTCATGCAGACCTGGCCTCAGCGGCAGGGGATAATAAGGAACTATATGGAACAACAGAACTGCACTGCCAGTCAGAAGGAAGGGGCTGGAATGAAGAGGAGCTGAGCAGAGCAATAACTAATGGCTTGTCCCCGCTGCCACAAGAATCGATGCTGGGGCGGTCAATCTTTCAATAAAGACCCGCTAAATTGAATGCTAACAGTGTCCCCATTGACCGTGGTACTCCTCGCAGTCTCAAGGAGTAAAAGGAGTCGATGGGAGCATTTCTTCTGTTGACCTCCGACTGTGGGGCTGCCCCAGAAAATCAATGCAAGGTACGTCAACTCCAACTACCCAACTGTTGTAGCTCAAATTGCCTATCTTACATCAATTTACTCTGCCAGTGTAGACCTGGCCTGACTTGCCAGTCATGAATAGTGGGGGAAATATGGGCCTTAAGGATGCTAGCCAAGTGAGACCAAGAAAGAAGTGCAATACTGAGCAGGACTGAGCTAAACGTATTCCCTGTTAGCACTGTGACTTGTAGGTGAGGTCTGGGGAACGGAGACATTGGGTCTAGGCTTTTCAGCTGTAGACAGCTACTTTAAGGGCAGTGAACACTGCCAGAAAGGTAAGCAGGAGTATATTTTGCTAACCAAGCTGGAATAGCTGTAGCTCATTTTACTATCCAGACATGGTTACTTGCTGATGCAACACACTCTGATTGAGGATGAGGTTCGTCTCTTTTCAATATTCTGCTTTGCAATTGCAAGCTTTGTTACTGCTGTTGCTAAACCCTTACTGTTTTAATATGCAACTACATCGTTGACTACTTATGGCTGAATTACTGTCAGGCCCAAGAGCAGCAGCCTTTCTTATTAATACGTGGTAACACCTACGGAAGCTAGAGAAGGATCAGGGCCCCACTGTGCTAGACACTGCACACACACACACACACACACACACACACACACACTAAAACCATCATCTCTCACCCAAAGAACCTATGAGAAAAACCTCAGTGTTCCCGTCTAGTTAATGTCCTCAATATGTACTAAAAAGGCAAGATCCAGAGTTAAAAATTAGCCAGCTAGTATTCCCAAGTCACTGTCTGTGCAAATTACTTACAAAATAAACTGCGCCAAAACTTCCATGGCCAATCTCTCGGAGGTCTGTGAAGAGTTTTTCTGGGTCTTCTTTGTAGAAGAGCTCTGCAATCTCTGGGTCCTTGAGGCTGCCCGCTCGGCTGGTTGATGGCATTCTGCCGGGCAGTTAGCCAACTGCCTATCTGGGTTGAAAGTGCTGCCTCAACCCTGGGCTCATCTGTATGAATGGGGCCTCTTCAGCATGGATCACTGCAAGAAACACATTACAACTTAGTCATGGATTACAAATCTCAGAGCTGTGCTAAGTAACTCGATACTGCAGTCCACAGATAGGCAGAGTCCACATTTCTTGCAGACCAAGCATCCTACTCGTAACGAGTGATGCTGCTGCTACAGGAGTTGCTATACTACATCAGTCTGGTACCATGTCTGCAACAGAGGCCTGAAACTTATCCCTCTATGAAAAATACAGAATATGAAAAAAAACACTTAACCAATCATGGGGAAAAATTCCTTCCAGAACCACAAAAACTGACCAGTTTATGAAGATTTAATTGCCAATAGGATCTTTCCTTTGCAGATACACAAACACTAATGATTATACAATTATCTGCTCCTTTTTAACAATCAACCCGACAGCCTGTCTCTCAATGACCTCTGGCAACAGTGAATGCGACTGCTTGACTAGAGTGTGCAAAAGAACACTTCCTTCATTGGTCAACGTACTGCCCTTCAGGTTAAACTAATGCGGTATTGCCTTCTTTCATTTCCAACAAGCAATGATCAACTGTCACCCATTTTCAATACTTCCATCCAATCACCTTTAACTCCTCCTGTCAGCACTAAATAAGGGCTTGTCTGCCCTTCAAATGTTGCAGGTGCACCGCATCAGCACAGACACCACCTACACCAGCAAGAAGGGTCTCCCATCAATCCAGGTCACCCTCTCTGAGAGGTGGTAGCGAGGTCAAAATAATTAGGTCAGTATAAGTAGGTTGTGCAGGAGTGTGAAAAATCCATACACCTGCACAAGGAGGCTAAGATGACCTAATCCCCAGTGTAGACGGTGCTACATCAATGGGAGAACTCTCTTAAAAACCTACCTGCCCTCTCTTAGGGAGATGAATTCCCCCTGCTGATGGGAAAAGGCAGCAGCTTCACTGAAACTCTACAGTGGTGCCACTGGTAGACAACTCAGTATCCTTAACCCTTTAGATCTCTTATGATACATAGAGTCAAGACCTCTACATTATATGCCTGCTCATGATCTTTTTCTACCACCACCAAATCTTTGAGGTATGGTGAACAAAATCAGAAAGAGTAACGTATCCCTGTCCCTTCAGATAAACTCCAGAACTGATGTTACCTTTAACTACTACAAGCACATCATAAAACCATTTTCATTAAGCCATCTCCACAGCTTTTCAAAGAACCTGAAAGTCCAGAAGCCATTAGCATGTGTAAAGTGTTTTGTGTTTTTAGTGTACACTGTCTTACATTTATCCAAATGTTGGCCATTTTTGGACCATGTCCACACCAGCAAAAAAGCTGTACTTTGGACATTTTTAAATCCTTCTGTAAACAAAGCAGTTGCCATCCTAACATGTTATGTTAGCTGGTCCAGGTAAACCCTAAGTTAAAGCCACCGTTTGCTTTGTCTCCTCTAGGATTGTCACTAACATGCTAAACATTCACCTTTTTGCCTATTGAGAATAAGGTCTTAGTGTTGGGAGTTTCTCACAATCTTCCACCAATTGTTACATGTTGAACCTCTGGGTCTGGACTCTCTTGTCCAGCAACATCAATGGTCCAGCATGACCATGGATGTTGCAGGACTTGAGAGCCCCAGCAGCAGAGGTTGCAGGTAGCTCAAAGTGGAGCTGGCCAGTGTGGCCAGCAGGGCAGCGGAATCCATGGGGCACCAGAGCTCATGGCTGGCGGGGCAGGGAAGCTGGCAGGGAGTTGGAGCTCACGGGGCAGTGGAGCCTGGGTGCTCTAGTGGGGTGATGGGGCTGTCACAAGGCCATCAGGGCCTGCCAGGAACTCCAGCAGGGCTGCCGCAGCTTGTGAAATCAGGACTGCCCAGCTTGCAGAGCCGGGAGGATGAGGAGAGAAACCCAGTGGGGAGGCTGTGCCCCCCCACCCTCAACTTTCCCTGGTCTGAAAAAATTCCCTTGTCCGGACCAGAGAAGTCCAACATGTACTAACCAAAACAATTATATGACTGGCAAACAGCAAACGTATATCCACATCCTTCTCCAAATCTTTTTGTTCTCTCTGGTCAAGGTTTACACTTCCACACTTTACAGAAAAGGTTTAACTTCATAGCAGACAAAGACCATAAATCTGAGTTTAAGTGTTATGTTTAAAGGTTATTAATCTTGCCCAACTGTCTCCTTTTCTGGTCTCTGTAGCCCTCCAAATCTCAGCAGAACCATTGGTCTCCCTCTTTTTCTCTCTATGGAAATGATTCCCACAGAAAATATAGAAAAAAAATGCTCCTTGAAGTGCTTGTGCATAGTAGCATTTTCCTTTGAGTACTGGCAGCAGACTAAACTGACAAAGACAACTTGATCCTTGTTAGTTTCAAGCAACTGCCAGGACCACTACATGGAAAGTCCTATTGTGTGTGAGCACAGCCAGGACATACCTAGTTATCAACACTGCATGACTCTCCAACTTGTCTGGCTAAGAGGTACTTGGAAGGTAGGATGAAAAAAAAATCAAGTACCACACAGGATACACATAGTGTATCTCCAAACAGGATTTTCAACATTTGTAATATAAAACTGTAAAAAAATGTGTTTCCATTCTCAGCACCTAAAGAACAATTATAAATGTGGATACTGCAGTGATGGACTGGATATAAAAAATTAAAGGGAATTATGAACTGTTGTGTAAATACAAATTATTAATTATTTAAGTATTTATGCATGCACCATTAGTGTGACACTGGTGCAAATCTATTAATTTCTTTGTTCCTTTATATTAAAAGGGTATGATTAGCACAGCAATTATATATAAAATGTAGCTCTATTAGATGGAATCAAATGAACAGGACTGTCATTAGCTACATTTTTTTGATAATCGCAGAAATGAAGGATTGTAAGGGACCTTGAAAGATCATCTAGTCCAGTCCCCTACACTGAGACAGGAGTAAGTAGCATCTATTATTGTCTCTGAGGTTCACACAGTGGAGAACAAGAATTAGCTGCAACTTAGTAGACATGAAATGTCCTTCATTTATAACAGATGTGACAGAAAAGCAAAAAGGTTAACAATATTACATTTGATTCCAGCCCTAAAAAGAACATGACATTAAAAGACAACTGTTTCGCATTTACAGCTTAGAGCTGAACAATAGACAAAACCCGTAAGTCAGAGAGGCAAGAGAAGAGAGCGGGGGAAGGGAGCTGATAACCACAGCACACCCAGTATTATTGAAGGAATGTTTCTTGGATCAACGGTAGTGATGTAATGTTCCATCTTTAAAAAAGCATCAGATTCTTACAAAAAGGACATTGTTGTTCAAAAGCAACTGCTGCAATCC